GGGAATCTTAGACGCGGAGGGTCACCCAATTCCTAACATCGGCTGCAGTGAACTGAGACCGTGGTTCCGAGATGGTATACAGGAGGGACGGGGTGGGTGGCAAAATCTAATAACATATGATAAGATTTGATAAGGGACCTCAGATGCGGAGGGCCACCAAATTCGTAGGGCAGGTTGCACGGTCTGTGGGGCCTTGGCCCCAGGAAGTGGTATAGGGAGGGGCGGACACCCACCGACGGGTGAGACGAAGTGACTGATGAGAAATGAAAACCTCATCATGCGGAAATCTGCAACACCGCTTACATCCACTATGCGATTGATATGATCCAGGTATCGGGCTCCCAGTAGTTCGTACACAACTAACTCTTATGCTCTTACCGCTATCGAATCATGTACGGCCGCTAAAACAACCGGAGTTCAGAAGCATGGCGGTTGTTCACTCAGTTGGCATGAACTGCAGCAACTGGCTTTATCACTATGTCTATGACTATCTTTCATCAACAATCTGAGAGAGGACCATTCGAAGCGTTAAACTGCCCGATTGCGGGAGTGCCTTCCAGAAAAAGAAACCTGCAGTAGTGGAGAACGCATCAAGCGGTAGGAAGCTTCAAAGGCTGCTCTTACAGGTTGCTGAATTTTCGTGTGAGGGTTATGGAGATTTTTGGTACTAAGAAAAGAGTGGGCCAAAGGATAGATTCTAGCGCTACATTGGGACAACGGTTACAATCCTACATAAATAATCGGCTATGTCCGTGCGTGTGCGTCTAACTCTTTGACACGAATATCATAGCGCCAGTTTAACTTCAACTTCGACTCGCTGATCCAACTTTAACCTATTGCTAAAGCTATTTCCAACTATTTTTTTACATATTGCTGCAAAATAAACTGTGACAGCTCGGCGTATTTTGCACACTCTACCTCGCCTAAAGAAACAGTGTCTGGCGAAGCCGGGCCGTGATGAAGAAGGAGGAGCACCCGGCCACAGCCGGGTGATCCGACTGGTAGATTATGAAACACCACATGATGGTATCCATCCTGAGATTGTTCATTGGATCGAATCATTTTTATCCGGCGGCACTTTCCGAGTTAGGATTGATAATTCTTTTTCCTCGGTAAAACATTGTACGAGTGGTGTCCCTCAGGGTGGAGTATTGTCTACTTTCCTTTGAACACCTACACCTTTGAACTTCCCTTGTTGCTCGAAAATAATGCAATTACTTGCCAGATGTCTGCCGATAATATCAAAGTTTACAAGCCTGTTAAGTCCCCGAACAATTCCTTGTCAGTTCAAAAAGCCGCTGAAACAGTATATGAGTGGTCTGTGATTTGGGATCTCCCTATCAGCCTTGAAAAGAAAAACTTTACATTTAGGTGAGAGTAATCCTAATCTTGGTTGCTTTTATAACAGCATTCCTCACGCAATTGTTATAAATTAAATGTTGAGTTCGTATTCTCTTAAAAAGGGTAGATTGAGGAATGACTTGATTACTTTATACAGAACCATTTGCGGTACCAGGCTTTTTGTTGCCCCTAAACTCTTCTCCTTTTCTGCTTCCTCCAATAGAGGTGAGATTAACAAGCTGCGCTTCAGTAAGGCCAGGGTTTCGGTTCGTAGCCACTTTTTTACTCAACGTGCTCGCAGTGAGTACGCCAAGTTTAGCAAACGCATTCCTTCACCTCTTAGCTATTCCTCCTTCAGACAAGAAGTTTCCCACTATTTCAAGAACATCAGCTAGTTGCATTTGCTTCTTGTTGTTTTCTCTTGCATCCACCTCGCATTTATCTCATTACTGGTGTTTTTTCTACTTGACTTGTCGTTTTAACATATAATCTCTTAGTTATGACATTATGGTCATGTTCTTCTTATATTGAATCTCACAGTTTCGTTGTTCATTGTCCCGGTTATTCACATGTCCATCCCGAGCATGTAATAAATAACTGGGTGGATCACAAACCCTCGATAATGTTAATTATGTTAATTGATTAGATGTCAGTGGTATCGCACGGTGACCCCTCTTACCTCTCAAAACTGTTTGTCGGAGGATTCCTGCTAAATGCACATGCTCGTGTGGACGGAGACGAGGAACTAGCTCATTCACTCGCCCCTGCTTCCCGCCTGGAGATGAGCGGTGCATCTATGAGTAAGGCACAGTGGTTGAAACGGGGTGTGTAGCAACAGAATCGTCCGGAGGTGGTGGGCGCGTCTACGACATACTTGCGGCGAGAAGACAATCACGCGCCGGGCCGTTTGAATGGGGATATTGAATGGACGGTCAAGATTGGTATCACCCAGGATCGAGTCTTGTGTTCAATTACGGTTGAACTTTTGTTTCCCTTTATATTTTTCCACAGAGAATGGAAAACTTAGGTGGAGCCTGAATTTCGTTAGGGTCTTTAACGTTTGCTCAGGTTGTCATCTTTCGCAGCAGCTCACAGGAAACTTGACCATTCATCTATCAATGTTGACGCTGACGCATGCGCGAATCATGTGAACCACAGGGAGAATAACTGCATTATTTGTTTTCTATTGTATTTGTTTATTTCCTGGAATTGCGTCCATAGATTCGCCTAACAATTGTGTTACTAAAGAGAGAAACTGTTAGATCTTCAGCTAATTATGGAATCTGGTGAACGTTGCGGATGTAAGCTGTAGTGGGTCAATTGTTCCAATCGCAAAACTACCGGCTAGCAAATGCACCTCCGTGAGCTGATGCGTCATTCGTCGCGTGACGCGCCGCGCGCCGCGGGCGCAGCCCCCGCATTCTGTTGCACGTCTCTCGTTGAAATGTGCGTTTCACAGTTTCTGCGTGCTAGTGTGTTGTTGCGTCGGCCTTGTAATGGGAGCGTGATTGCCCGAGAAAATGTAATCCGGGTCCATATCCCAGAAATCTGGTAACTCAGAAAGTTACTAGTACTCATGGTAGTATTTTGCGCCTCAAACTTTTTACATTGATCACGGAAAATTTAGGTTTCGCACAGGTGCCGGACCTGGTTCGTATTCAAGTGGCTATTCTTTCAGAAATGCGTTTCTAGGCGGAGCTCTGGGAGCTGTCGGAGGCCAGTTTTACACATCATGAATATTTAAACCGTTTACATCATCAACAACAACATTAGGCGCAGTTCGGCGATGGAGGGGGGGCACCTTGCACATTCCCCATTTCCCAGCGACGTGTTGACCTATCTAGACCGCCTCTTCTCGAGTTGACATGTTTTACCATGATGACTGGCGACCTTGCTCCAGCTTCATAAGAGTTCACAGGTTTCGCCAGAGTGGGACTTGTAAATCACTAGGGAAGCAATCACCCCTTATATAATTCGCTTTGTCTGTTTGTTTGTTTGTTTGTTTGTTTGTGAATTTGTAAGCTTGTAAGTTTGTAAGTTTGTCTTCCGGAAATTCGGTTCGACCTGAAGAACGACTTGAAGAGGTGCAGTCAAGGTGGGGAATAGTAGGGCATGGGAAAGAAATAAAAAGCACACTTGACCTATGGCAAGCCCCGCCACTGTGGGCGGGCACTCGCCGAAAGTTTGGGATTCCGCAGAAATGTTCATTATTCGCTTCTGGAGCAGCTTAAAGATGGGGAAAAAAGGGACTAAGGTTAGTAAGTAGTCGGCCAGACCAACTGTGGCAGGTACATCCTAAGTGGGCGGGGCGTACTCAAGGTGGGCGGTGCTTCTCGCAAAATAAGTAACCCGGTTCGCGATTGTTTGGAAGTCGCAAAAAAACTCAATGTAGAATGTAAATATCCGGCAAATATAGGGCCACGCTCAAAGTATGTTGAGATCCGCCCACAAGGGCGGAGCTTTGCCCTAAATCGCACGGTATTGAATTTTAAAAGTTTGTAGCTCGGTTCTAGAACACTCCAGATACCGGAAAAAAGTGGATTAAGTTCAGGCAGACGGTAAGATTGTGGGGCACAAAAATTGGGGCGGAGTCTGCCTCAAGGTGGGCGGAGCCGGGCAAAAATACTATAGAACGGTTCCAGAACACACCACATACCGGAAAAAAGTGGATTAAGGTCAGCAGAGGGTCGTCGGTGAGGATTGTGGGGCGAAAACATTGTGGGCGGAGCCTGCTCCTAGGTGGCAGAGCCAAACAAAAAGGTGTGTAAAACAGTCGCCAGAGCACTCTGAAGACCGGAATAACGTGAAATCAGGTCAGCAAGGGGTCGGCGATTGAGAAATCTGGGTAGACATAGTGTGGGCAGATTCAGCCGAGGTGGGCGGAGTCAGACGAAAATTCTCTGAAACTGTCCCAAAGCACTTCAAAGACCGGAAAAAAAACGTGGATTAAGGTCAGTAGAGGGTCGAGGATTGAGGATTGTGGGGGCACAAAATATTGTGGGCGAGGCCTGCTCCGAGGTGGGCGGAGTCAGACGAATAATCTGTAAAATAGCTCAAGAGTACTTCAGACACCGGAAAAAAAGTGGAGTACAGATCAGAAACGCGGATATCAGTTGAGTCTAGAAATATGTGAAAGAAAACACCGCTGCGAAGCGCGCTCGCACCGTTCAGCCGGGCCATATCAGAAAGGAGGCGCGCCGGCGTTAGCCGCGAGCCGACTGGTGATAGTATCAAATGTCGCCCCGTTGCCGGACCGCGCCACAAAATCATCCGTTCCATACAAATTAGCCATGCGTTGCAGTATGATCAAGATGCGGTGGACCTACGAGATTGGGGCTGCAAGCATCGTAGCAACAGGAATCCTGGATATGCTACCTCGTCTACTCTAACAAAGGCAATACGACTGGCCACAGGAGCAAACAGTCTACTCACAGGCACATTCCGGCCTGATATATGAGCAGAGAAGGGTTCGAAACTGACTGCCTCTCTCTCTCTCTCTCTCTCTCATCTCTCTCTCTCTCTGCCTCTCTCCTCTTCTCTCTCTCTCTCTTTCTCCATCACCGAAAGACGGGCGCACTATGGGCGAAAGACAGAAATGATCTTCGTATTTATCAGTGTCTCTCCTCCCATCCGTTTATCACGCGAAATCTGCCCTTGATATGGATAGTGTGAAGGCAGTGGCACGAGACCGCTGGAGGCAGGTAGATCGTTGCCGAGCGTTTATTTGGAAAAGATGGTCTACAAAGCAATTGGGCAGTTTTGCCAGAGGCACTCCTTCAGTTCTCACTCATGATGCAGAACACAAGCGCAATCTAGCACTCGGTACACTGCTCTCTAATAGTTGTCAGAAAAGTTGGTCAATAGGGGGTAAAAAATAAAGAGCGGGGTCCCAATATTCGGCGAGAAAGCTGTCGCTGTGATGCAAGGGATACACAACGTTGGACCAAACAAATTAGCCCAGAGCAATTTTCAGTATTGTAGGTAATCTGGCATTTGAAGAGGAATATCATCATCTCAGATCCATTGGATACACTCCAGTCTCCTACGAAGGCCGGGAGTACTTTCTTCGACATATCTTATCCAAGACAGAAATAGGAATGACCCTAATACTGTGCTCCAGTGCCTTCGTAGAAGTTGAAACAGGTTGAAAAATTGCTTACAACTTGCATTCCGATTCTTACGCATACGGAAATGGGTAAGCATCTTGAAACAGGCCTTTTTCTTTCCAGGCAATACGATATGTCCCTGAAGTCCACGCCAAGTCGCAGAGGGCCGAGCTGGATCAAACGTTGCGCTTTTATCGTTGATTTGCTCCTCCCTCATGTGCCTTTAGCTGGAAGTGACGCAACCAATGAGAACGCACAATTATGCCGGCTCCACCGCATAAATCCGAAGCGTGACTGCTGCCTTCCAGATTCCTTTGAACGTTAAATCCGGTACTTCTTGCATTTCAGCGCTGTCCGGTAAGCCGGTGGAGAGCAATAACGCAGAGATTCCATGGTCATTCGACACAAACATCACTACTTCACTCACTATTTCTAACCCCACCGACCGACGATGAAACCTGATAAAGTTTTGGATAGGTGTGAGTACCGATTTTAGTCAGGGCGTAGTTGCATGACATATTCTTACGACGAAGCTCTGACAACCTGAACATCCTTGGTATACAAAAGTTGTGTCATAAGGAATCCAGAAATGGAAGAAGTGCCTTTCCCTAGATGTCAAATAATTGAAGCAATTAGGCAGATCAGCTGAACAGATAGTGTTTTGGAACTCATATGAAAAGCTTGAAAGAAAATGTAAAGACCTGCAAAGCAGGGCACATCCATCGGTTGTGATCATCACAACAGGGGGTGTATTTGACTCGAGGAGGGGGAGACGGGAATTCGTAGACGCGGGGAACCTTTCTGAATTGAGGGTGCAGCGATACTCAGATGTTCATTCAGTTTCAATGATGAAGACTTAACCAGTGAAGAACCTCTAAAGAAACCCCCCCCCACAAGACAGAAGGCAACCTGCCACACGTAGAAGTGGGGAATCGGGCGATAACAGAAATACGATGGGCACTCCCAAGCGACGTCATGAAATTAAAATGAAAAAGGTAAAGGGTGGAAGTCTCCGCTCGTTGATACACACCCCTTTTGGCGATGCGGCGCGCATTCTACTTCCATTCGGAGATGCACGTGGCTTACTGAATGCGATGAGGCCTATAACCATGATGTGCGGTGCCCTCCCGATGTATAAGTCAGTGTTTTATCACTCAAACGAATCTGGTACCATCTTGCCGTTCCCGCGGGTAGAAGGATTCGTTGGCCTGGGCGAGAGTCGACTCGATATTTGAGCCCGGCATAGCGCGAGTGATAAGCGCGCCACTTGTCACTACACCTGTGGACGCCTCGCCAATGAATATACGTCATAAACTGATAAACAGATGAAAGTACACTTCCCCACCTTTATATTGCAGAAGCACACCTACTTGCACGAAGGAAGCCCTTTCTAGAACTTGCACCTTCCCAATAGCTCTGCGTGAAATCGCTATGCATGGCGCATTCCAGAGGTGATGCCAATTGGCGTCCGATGAACTATTTCCTGGTATCCTTAGCAAAAACATGCGTTTTAGGAGCATACAAATATCTTAAAGCCAACTGGAGATCTTCTGGCGTCGGAGGGGTTGATTTTTCGGGCCGTGGGGGAGTGATTTTGTTATGATCACAAGAGGGTTTTTTCGAATAGCAGGCCTAGGGATAAAATGAAAGTCTTGCTGGAAAGTAGAAACCTTCATGCTTCCGGCACAATTCTCTTTTTTTCGAAAGGCCGTGTATGGAGCTTGCCGTGTATGTCCAAAACGTAGCGACTCGTGGTTGGCCCCCAGGATCACAAGAGGATCACAAGAGGATCACAACGAAGAAAATTTCTAGGAAAGAAATGTTTTTAAAATCGCTCGAACTCAGGTAACAAGAGCACCTTGCTCCACTCATTCCCACTTTACCCTCTTCGAGAGCTTTAGTTTCAACGAAGTTATGGGTGTTCAAAAGAGGGGTACTTTTCTGTTCGACTTGAAACTGGCTCCAGGTAGAATAGCGAGCTTGAATAATGAGCTTGTATTAGCGAGGGAATGCACTGCTCGCGTGCGGATGACCGCGAACAACTAATACTCAAAAACTAATGCATAGTTTCTAGTAGTTCTGGTGAGTTTTTTGTCGCTTGTTTGGTATTTTAGATCCTTTTTCTTTTCTAGTAGTTTTTTAGGTTGTATCTTTGTAGATTCTGGCATTATCGAACTACTCCTACCCCAATTTGCCTAAATCAGGCCAATTTTTATCGATTTTTTTCTAGAGGGGCAGATTTGGATGTAAATTTGTTACAGTGGTACTTCGACCTCCTGAACACGAATACCGCACCCGCTTTGCCCAAACATTTTCATCAATTCTGGTGATTTAGGGTATTTTAGCGCGGCGCCACAGGCGCCGGCGAAAACGTCGGTGAAAACTTGTATATGGTTGTTATTTGACATCCTGATTACGAACATGATATTTATTCTTGGCGCCAGAGCTTTTTTGGCGTGGAAAAGGTTCAATAGCGCCCAGTTCTCTTTATTGTCATTTTCTTCGTCCCTTTTGCGCTTCTTTTCATTTGTACCCTCGTGACGGGGGGGGGGTCGTATTAAGACCCTAATTCTAGGGAGGGGTCGTAATTAGTGGGAAATGATCACAACGCGATGGCGTGCCTTGGCTGCAAGTCAAGGATTCCAACGTGCGACCTTGTTCCTCTGAAGCAACGCGCTTATCCACTACATCACCGGTCATTCAGAACCGCGGGCCTTCCAGGTGTTGTGGGTCCGGGCACATCATCATGTTGTGGGAATCTCACCGAACACAACTCATACCCCTCCCCTGCCTGTCTCCCGCATAAATTTCTCCCTTCAGTTAGGGCCCCTTTCATAACCTACCTACCGTTTTACCGAATCCTGCCCAATTCTTGAAAAAAATTTGTGCCTGTCGCAAAGCGTTGCCCAGTGATACTGTTCCGGTAGGTGAACTTTCCCATTTCAAGCGTGCTATTATTCAAAATATGGAAAATATTCTAGAAATTTGGTAGGAGTTAGGAGGTCTCAGCGAAGCAGCAGATAGAATGGGGAAGGGGTCGTATCTCAGTAGGAAATTTCAGAGAGGACATGTTGTACTAAAACAAAACACCTCCTCGTACTATGCCCTTTCTCAAAGCAGCCAAAAGAATAGTAAGACAAAAGGAAAAAATCGTGGAATAAACACGGAATCAGTAAAGGAAATAATACGAAAATGCAGGAAAATATAGGGACAACAATGGCTTAAAGTGTATTCTCATGGAAATTTTGATTCTCCTGGAGGATAGCCAAGACTGTGCGCCTCAGGGCAGTACCACTCACTACAACAAATGTGCCTTGAATTTCAAAATTTTCACAAAATTACCTAATTATTATTTTTGCAGATACAATATAAGAACGGTACGCGACCACATGTTATTACGTGGGTATGTATCAGAGATGTTGAATTATGCTGTGGTACTGATTGTTGTCCCGAGGAGGATGATATAACCGTGTACGATGTTCTTAGGTGGATTGGGTGAGTCACTCGAGGTTACATTCAAGCCAACTGAATCATATGGACCCTTCCGTTGTAGCCTTATCATCACCATAGGTGTAATTGTATTCATCTGTTGCTCTTTGTTGTGTTATATCTTAATCATCCTCTTCGCCCCTAAAGGTATGTACTACCTTTTATAGTTGTTTCCGGGTTTTTTCTATCAGTGAGCTGGGCAGAATTAAGCTTATAGAAGCCCCTGAGTGCAGCGTGTACTTATCATGAGCATCTGAGCGGCACCACCCACCAACAGCCTCTGCAGTAGACTTCATGCAGGAGTAGAATGATGTTTCAAGCTACGGATCTTTTTACAGCAATTTCCAGGAATTTTTCGGGCAAGCGTGAGCCGTGCACCAGCAGCCCTCCCGTAATACACTTCATATCCCTGATATGAAGAGGGCGTGGCTGCGCACTTTATCTTAACGTGGTGGCGGCTTTCCTTGCGGTGGAATCGCTTTGTTGTGAGACAGTTGTACTCATGATATCGTCCACCCTTAATATGTATGGGATGAAAGTTGTTCCAAATGGGAATATCCGTGCAAAAGGCGCACCCTACGCCATGTTCAAGATAAGCACGCAGCCACGCCCCTACAACTCCCGAATATCGAGTGTGGTTCCGTTGTATGAATCAAGTGTCGGGTTAAAGACAGTATCCGCGCTCGAGAGGCCTTCAAAATGACTCCGCGCCTTCTGGAACCCTCTGCGCCTTGATGAAAATGATCCCGCTTTTATCCATCAATCGCGCGATGAGGAAGTTATCGCAATTTCGACAAGGCTCGCTAGGCTCACGGAGACGGTAGGTGGACGCGTCTGGTCCCGAAGTGCATCCGTCCCTTTAAAGCCCGCGCTTCCCTTTAAGCCCGCGGTCCCACTGGCATTTTGCCAAAGTTGGCTCATAGCTCAGCTAAAGGTCTTACTTCGGTCAGGCTTGTAAACATGTGTGAAAGTGCGGAACCATTAGAGTTTTTTTTGGCTTATGGAATGTAGTGCTTGCTTTTCCAATGGTAGGGAGATTTGTTGTCAAGTGGGGTTTGTTGTCATATACTTTCTTTTTCTTTTTTTTTTCTTGTCAATTTCTCAAGGAAACTCCAGCAACCTTCCCAATTTTCTCTGTAAGCAACTCTAATCATCCCATCGTTGGAAATTGCAGTACGTTGCGAAGCAGCGCTGTAGCGCTACTCTGTAGCGCGACGCTGTAGCGCTACAAGTATGAACGCTGCCTTACGTTCGAAAGTTGGGACGCAATTGCGCAACTGCCGCATCGAATTCTGGCGGCCACGCCCGGCACACTCGTCCAGGCCCCACCCCCACTGCTAAAGGTAGGTTTGGGTTCAAGGTGTTCCCGAAGATTTTTCTGCTTCTTCTTCTACTGAGAAGCTAACTATGGAATACTGGTGCATGACAGAGTACAATTGCCCGCAAGTTGATCGCGATAATTGTCTTTAAATACATTTTTCTTGGTAATCGGATGGGAGGAGAACTGAACTGGAACTCGCAAGCACTAACTCTTTCTCTCCCTTCTCTGCATTACGAGCAAGACAACACAGACAGGGCACATCATTGGTTGGGGATTTTGGTGAGGCCCGTACGACCCCCCCCCCTTTTGGAGGGGTTCGGTACGACCCCCCCCCTATACATAAACTTTTGAAGGTTCTTCCCCCCCCCCTCCCGGAGGAGGAAGAAACTTTATAAGTTTATGTATAAGTAAGCGCAAAAAACGGAAAAAGTACCTGTACGAGGCCCCCTCGCTTTTTGCTCATTTCTATCCTGATTCAGAAAAGAGAATAGAAAAAAAAGGCCATTAGGTTTCACTCACATTTCCTCGAGTGAAAACAAACAGTGGTACCTGTATCAATTACAATTAAAAGAAAAAAAACAGGGAATTAAGCCAACTTCTCCTAAAAGCACTCTGAGCGGTCCAAGCAAAATTGCTGGGGCGCGCTCTGACACGTATTCGATTAAACTGAGAAGAAGGTAAATATTCGATATCCGAATAAACCGACAAGAAGATAAACACAGAAGAGTAAATACAAACGAGAGCAAACCAGCAGCATCAGGTGATCAAAGGCCAAGGTACCGGGAGGGGGATTCTGGGCAGGACCTCCAGCACTCAAGGTGGTTGCAGATGGTTTGATTGGAGCGCGTACCTTCAGGTAAGTGGGGTCTCTTTGAAGGAGCATAACTTCCGTAATAGCGGACCTTTGGGAAAAAGAAGAACGCAGTGGTATGGAGAAAGATTTTATCTTTCGAAAACACACTGAGTGTTCATAGAGGTCGCCGAATTCATAGAAAATTTGCGTTGGGGATTATTTAGAGATTTCATTTTTTGGAAATTTGGGGATTTCATTTTTTGGATAGTTTGGAGCGCGAGTTCTACAGGTTTGAACCAAGATATTTCCCTTGAACCTCAATAGTTTGGGAATCTAAAATTACTGTCGAGTTCTAGAAGATTTGCTCATTCCAAAAACTACTTGAGCGTTTTTCGAAGCTTCCGAGAGTCATGAGATAATTGCGTTGGGGATTATTTGGGGAACACTCCGAACTGTTCGAAAGTCCGTTTTCTGTGTACGGTTTCAAGGAGCGTGTTCAAATGGCCAGAAATACAAGTAGAACTTATCCTGTGGTGGAGCAGGAGCAGGATGTGGCTTGTTTAGTGCCAATCATGCTAACTTTGGATGCGCCGCGCATTGATGTCCGCGCAGAGGTGATGGGATGGTGCAATTTGAGCGCTATGTCTGTCCACGCAAGCAAATGTGTCTATAGGATTCAAAGAGATCCATGCCAAACCTGTGCACTTGTTTACAGTGTTTTCCGTGTGTATGAGGGAGCGTGTCCCTGTCGACGCCGCCAGATTCGTGCTCCGCCAATTGCTGATTCCGATGAAGGAGACCAACTACTAGAAAACGTCTGAAACGAACGATATGGTAGTGTCGTTTGTCGAGAAAAAAAAACAGGTTGGCTCAGCGCCAAGCGCGATCGCGGACAGGCCCCATTATCCGCAGCGAACCAGAGTATGAGTTGTACTGTTTAGCCTTTTACGAGATGATGTCGACTTATTGATATTTCCAGTCATTTCGGATCAAATTGATGAGTGAAAGTTTTGTACTATTTTTTTTACATATCCGAGTTCTCTACAAAGCAAATTTCGCTCTGCGGGACTCAGCACACTGAAACCTTTGCGCTGCTCGTTACTGGCTACCGCACTCATTACGACCACCCCCTCTCCTGGCGGCAAGATACGACTCCCTGTTGGGGATTCCCCGACCAACGATGTGCCCTGAACACAGACGGGAGAGGCACAACAGTTTTAAAGAGACAGTAAGGCAATCGTGATACGCCACTGTGATGGGCATAGCAAGCAACGTCACGCCCGACAGACGAGTTGTCCTGCCTAGCCGTTCCAATATAAGTGTCAAGGATAAAGGGAAATTCGATGTTTGGCGTCATGGGGTTTTGCTTTGGCTCGGACATGTGAATTTCGCTGCTATAATTCACAAACCAATGCTCACCAAGAGTCGCGGTGCATGGCACAAATGCAGCATGTGGTGTGGCGCGGCAAATAATAACTGGTTGGTCGCCGACAGCTGAAAGTGTTATTGGAGACTGGCAAGTGAGAGGCAGTTCAAACAACCGCTGATTTCAAATAAAACCTAAATCGCTGTGCATGATAGCGCTCAGTACCGATCTTTTTATTCGATCCTTTATATGAAACACTCAAAGTGCTCAATATTTCAGCCCTGCAGGGTGTCCAACATGATAATCCTTCACCACAAGTGCATGGACCCGACGGCTGCACACAATCCTATCCATCTGGAAGCGACACATCTACGGATAAACCTCCTGAAGGCTACCCACCTGAGGGTTATCCACCTAAACGTTTTCCTCCTGAGGCTCCTTCGGGAAAGCATGAACAGTCCAAAAGCCATAAATCTAATCGAACCCTGGAGCAGCAGAAAGGAGCAAAGACTTCCACAGAAGGTTTGGAATCGGCCTCCAAAGAAGGTTCAAAATCGAAGGAAAATGAGCAGCAATCGGAGGAAGGAGTGCCAGGCAAAAGGAGCCGAAATCAAAAGAAAGGAAAGAAAAGTCAAAAAAACTTCGCAATGTAGTAAATTTATACAAAATGACTTTGAAGTGCATTCATTTATCCCCTTTGTACACGTAAATTTAAGTTGTTATTATGATATTAGGACACCAAGCAACGTGATAAAGAAATTATACTGAACCTTCGCACACGACAGTTACAGAATCAGGGCCAGTACTCACGGTGAAAGGCGTTCAAGCACCAACTTTTTCACTGCATATGGCGCGTCAGTTTTTGAAGCGGGCCAGTGACAGCAATCGGTAGAAAACGCAGTGGCACCGCGCCAAACCACTAACCTCCATGTGACACACCTTAGTGCCTGCACGACCCCCCTTTCGAGAGAAGGTGTCAGTACGACATTCCCCCCCCCCACCTAAATGAGGGTCTCGATACGATCCCCCCTCTCCCAAACTTCTACCCATAGCCAGGGTGAAACGGGAGAATCGCCCCCACTTCCTACCACTTTTTCCCGATTTCACAAAGTTTTCCTACTTATTCCAAAGTCAACAACCGGAAAAAACCAACGCGACAAATTTCTCTCAAAGGCACATACGACCCCCCCCCTCCTTCCCACAAAAAGAAGTACGACCCCCTATGGTTCCACACAACGGTGCTGTACCTTGACGGTGATAGCAAAGGATTGCGAAAGGCGGCTATTCTGACGCCGCTGTCTTACAGAACCCGATAATGTACCCCCAATTGGCGGGCTGCCAGTGGGCAAAATTAAGCTGTACGATGTTTTGCTCTGATTCAAAGATTGTTGGAAGAGCACCACCGGAGAACTCGGCCCATCTTGCAATGTAAAGGGCAACCCTAGCAAAATTTCCGCCATGGTGCACACTGTTCCGATTTTGGAGTTGAGAAAGCGTAGAGTGAAACAAAAGCAATCGAAAAACCTAAAGAGAGGCTAGCCACAAGAGTTGATGTCGCTCAAGAGACCCAAGTTGCGACGACGCTCATAATCTAGTGATGGTTTTCCCTAGCTGGACTAGGCTAGAAGGTCACCTCCGATTCTGTTCCTTGTCGCGTGCGAGGTGAATAGTCCCACGGGGAGTGTCCCTCCGCCACTCAAAAGCGTGCGGATATGAGGCTCGAGGGGAGTGGTAGGTGGATGCTTTGGGGCTCCTAGCCCTTCACTGACCAAATCGTGCTTCATGTCTGCGCCCTCTCATTTGGCTGGGAGCTACAGTTCTCTTCTCTTCTTACACTACGCAATACACTTGCACCTTGCCGCGAACGACAGCTTGCCATTCATGTTATTCGCTGCAGGACCTCAGCATAGACGCACGTGCTGCATGCTGTGGACGTCTGGAGCCGAAAGAGAGCCAAAAGACATTCATCCCTCTCGCCTTATTTTCATGCGCTTTTGAGGACGAATGTGGCACATTCCTACAGCTGCCGACCCGCTCACCTCCCACGTGACCCGGACCCACTTTGCAGGTAAGCGTACAAATTAGAAGTCGGGTCAAGATGGGGATGGGTAGGGCATGGGACAATAAATAAAAAGCACACTTGATCCATGGAAACCCCAGCCCACAGTGGGCGGGGCACTCGCCGAAAGTTTGGGGTTCCGCACAGAAATGTCATAATTCGCTTCTGAAGCAGGTGAAAGATGGGGAAAAAGTGAAATGAGGTTAACAAGGAGGTGCCAGACTAACTGTGGGAGACACATCCAAAATGGGCGGGGCCTACTCAAGGTGGGCGGCGTTTCTCACATAACTCAGTAACCCTGTTCGCAAGAGTGTTTAGAAGTCGCAAAACTCAGTGCAGAACGTAAATATCTGACGAGTTTTGGGGACGCTCAAAGTGTGTTGAGAGCCCACAGTGAACGGAGCTTGCCCCTGATCGCAGGATACTCATTTTAAATGTTTGTAGCTCAGTTCCAGAACACTCCAGAAACCGGAAAATAGAGGATCAACGGCAGCGAGGGCTGGGTCGATTGAGGATTTTGGGGCACAAACACTGCGGGCGGGGCCTGCTCCTAGGTGGGTGGAGCCGGACAAAAGATCTGCAAAATAGTTCCAGAACACTCCAGACACAGGAAAAAAAGTGGATCAAGGTCAGCACAGGGTCGCCCATTGAAAAATGTGGGGCATGAATGTTGTGGACGGGGTCAGCCCGAGGCGGGCGGAGCCAGACAAAAATTCTGTAAGTTGTTGCAGAAGTTTTTTCCCCTGTCCTGATCCTTCCTTATTTCGTTTGCATGGAGGTTAGTATTTCGCCATCATGTGTGCGTAGCGTGTACATGATACTGTTTCACCACACTAGCTATCACTCACCCATCCTGCATTTGCAGGCTACAATGCCGCACAATTACCAGTGCAAAACCATGTCACAGTGGTGATTGTGCGGCATTGTGGCCTTCTTCGGGTCCCAGCCCCCTTCTGGGACGATGGAATCGACAAGCTCCCTGAGCATTGGCGTCCTGTAGTGTATGGTGATGGTGCATACCTCTAATCTTCAGGCTGTCTCGCTATTGAGATTTTTACAAAAGTCGGGGAAACGAACTTATGCAACAACCTAATAGTGCACTCCAGACACCGCAAAAAAGTGTATTAAGGTCAGCAGGGTCGCCCATTGAGAAATGTGGGTCATAAATGTTGCGGACGGGGCCAGCCCGAGGTGGGCGGAGCCAGACAAAAAACCTGCAAAACGGTTCCAAAGCAGTTCAGACACCTTCAACATGTAAGCAGAGATGTGCAGGACCTCAACTGTTGGATATATGGCAAGAGTTGAGTGTGTATGTGGTGTGCTGTAACTCGCTCCCAGTGGGCGGAATGCACAACGTACTTATTCTTACTGAATTTTAGCGCGTACTCTGCCATACTCTTGACCACCGGTCGTCATAGGTACTGGATTTCAGTCGGCTCGGCGGCTGACGCCAGCGCTCCTCGTGTGATACGGCCCAAGTTGGCCGGACAAGCAAGCCTTTTCCACACATTCCTTCCCCAGCTGTTCTCTCGCCTGTGCCCATAATCGCACACTTTAGTACCACTCCATAATAATAGTAGTCAAAATAGTCAAGTAAAGTAAGTAATAGTCAAAATAGCAGGAATGATGTATTTGTCGAGAAGCTTTAACCATGAGTACAGAACGAAAGCCTGATAGCAGCTGGGTCTAGAAATATGTGAAAGAACGTACGCGCGCCGAAGCGGCGCCCGCCCGGCGCAGCCGGGCCGTATCAGAAGGAGGCGTCGGCGTGAGCCGGCGAGCCGACTGGTGAATCAAAAGGCGTACATGGTCGATACGCCTAGCATGGAAGACTAGCAGGTACTGCGTGATACCTACTGCAAACAAAGGCGCCTTTATAGCGCCCCTCAAGGTAGAACATGTGCGACATGAAGATACAAATCGATGCTGGTACTCTTATCGCTCCATCCGTGAAGTACTGTTGAAATGAAGCATTGCTGCTTTGATGCATGAATGGACACGCGCAGCCTACAATCAGAGCGGTTGTTGCACGATGCCAACAATTAACTTGTCCTGGAATACTCGTCCAATGCCGTGCGAAACCAAGGTACACTCCTCATCCCTGAGCCAGAGTAGGCGTGGCATTTACACAGAGCACGGAACTGGTTACTTGTAGAAAATTCCAGTCCGGGACAACTGTCATCTTATTCTGTGTTGGACAGAGGCCACGACAACAGTTTGTGTCAAGACGAAAATATCTCACCAGAAGCACAGACACCTTCAGGTTAAGTTGAAGCATGCGGCCGCGCCTCCCCTTCTCAGGGATTTCGAGTATATTATCGCGGGCTGCCGGTCGTCAACAAATGTTTTGCCATTTTTCCCCACTGATATAGATATAATAACTTCACTAATTTTTCGAGCAAGTGCCAAATTACCGTGCCTTATGCCTTTATCGTTCTTTTATGCCAAGTAATTTAACAGGGAAGAAAAAAAGGCAAAACACAAACGCAAAAAGACTGTACTGAATAACCTTTCGAGTATTCAACTCCTCAGTTGACGTGCAAAACTAATTATTCATTGAGAAACTGTTCGGAATGCCGTGTAGGCAGAGCTAGGAAACACACTATAGCGTTCATCTTGCCGCCTTCTTTATCGCCGTAGAATTCGGTGAAAGGAGGGATCAATAACGCCGTCTTAAGCGAGCATCAAATGATCGTGCCAACTGCCTTTGAGGCAGCGTTTAGACTTGTAGCTCTACAACTGTACCGAACTCCATCTCACTGCAGAGTTACGAAAAAAGTCACCTCGATGAGCTAGAAAAAAAACGATGCGAAGTTTCTAAAGCTTCCGTATGGGTTAAAGGCAAAGCCGCGACCACAGATTGTGGGTTAACGGAACCTCACATAGGAACGAAAAAGGGCTAGGTATCTGATTAGAGGAGAAAAGCAGCAGAAAAACAGCCGAAAATGCCTTAAATAGGATTCCATATCGACCCCAACTTGTACATGCATGCAATGAAGAAAACGCATGTTTGTACGAATTTCCACTTGTTGTTATCACAAAGATATCAGCTCTTTTATCGTATCACCTCACTCACACCATTCGGAATGGAGAGAGATAGCATAGTGGCTACTAGCTAGTAGCTAGCAGCCGGTGGGGGTCGGCATGGGCCTAAGGGGCGCCCATGGGCCTAATTGGTTAGCTTAAAGCGGAATTCTTGCCGATTTTCACTTTCTAAAGGTATCGCAGCCTCCGCAATCTCCTTCCGGATCGTCTGACACATTTGAAAGGTCATAACCTTATTTTTTCGCGGAAAGTGCCTTTAAAACAGACAAGGAGAAAAACACCGCCTACATGGACTGGTTTGCAACCGCTTTTTCCGCGCTGCCTCAGCCCGGATCTCCCTTCCACCACCCCCACCCTTCCCCGTTATATCATCACCAGTTTGGCTGACGCGCACTTCTGCGCGCTGGTTCAGTTTGTAGTCCTGATCACTGAAGCTGGGATGACCCCTAACCTTTGACCTGGCTTCCATTTTCAGAGTACGGTTCACTTTATCATATTTCTTCTCATTAATGGCAACATGCCAATTGCAGCGCTTATCACACTTCCAAG